TTCTTGAAAGACTAGCATCCTCAGGCACTTCACCGGCAGCCATACCCACCTGCATCCGGCATCCAGGCTCTAAGCCGCCCTCCCTGATGTCACCCACGGCCCTGCTCCCTGGCCCTGTGACCTCACCCCACAACTCCGTGCTGATCTGGGATCCATCAAGTCGAGGCAATTTGGGTGTGTAAAGCTAAATGTGTTATCATTTTCACCACACATTAACAGTTTCTATGTAAATATTGGTATTTCCTCACCCCATGAAGGCGAGAGGAGGCAAATGACACCGGCACGTTTGGTTTAAACTAATTAAAAGCAGAGGGTCATGCAATTCAATATATTGATTTTACCAGTGGGACTTAGATCTTTTATAATAAGTGTACACAGCTGCAGGGCTCTCCCACCACCACACTTTAAAGGCTAATCCTCACATTCCTTCTGACAATACATGACAGGTCCCACACATCCCTGCCTGTGCCCTAACCCCGGTGACACTGCCAGAATGCATTAAGCAGAAGCGTGGCAGCGACTCGCCACAAAAACAGCCCCCAGCCAGGTCCGAAGAGTGACTGTGAAAAAGTGAACATGGCAAGACATGTGGTGCAAAGGACTCTCCATTCAAAATACGCAGCTGGTTAAACGGATGGGCAGGCTGGGGAAGGGTTGGGGCTGGGGAGTGTCAGGACACTCTGATTCTTGCCATGGGCCAAAAATGACCTTACCCAATAGGGGGAGAAAATTAAAGTAATAGGGGTGATCAATCAACTCAGATGGACTCTCCCTGGAATGAAGTCATCACTTGTCTCTGAGTTCACGGCCATGTGATGCGCGCTCACGGCGCAGGCATGCCGGTGGTCAGGGCCCGAGCGCCAGCTGTGTTTATCTCAGCGGAGGCTGAGCGCCTGCTCCCCGACAGAAGGCCCCGAGCTGGGGCTCGCAGGAGCTGCATCCCAGAAGCAGTTTCTTCTCCGTGCACTCAGAGCATCGTCCCTGGGCTGCCCGGGAATCCGTTTGTATCTAGGGCCACCTCCTTTACCCCTTCCACGGGCCACTCCCCGACCGAATGACAAGCCTGGAATAAAAACTAAAAATAGCCACCAAGCTGGCATCCAGGGCTCTGCCTTAACCTGCTTCGGTTCCAGAAGAGAAATACAAAGATCAAAAAAAGTTCAAATCTGGGTCACATATATCCTAGGGAGAAGGGAGGGGGGGAAAGATTTTTGATTTATAGAAGCAGGAAAATGAGGTTTAAAAGAAGTGATTTTGAAAGGGTTACTAAAAACACAGCTGTTGGTGCACTCCTCGAGTGAAGACTCTCTGCAGAAAGAAAGAATGAAGGAAGGGAAAGCCTGGGTGACATCTATATTAACCTCTGGCTGCTTCCCAGTGAGGGCCGGAGCTCCGAGTGCTGGAATGTGGAACAGCCCCTTCCAAATCTTAACACAAGCCAGGTTACAGCTGCACCGCCTGCAGCCTGCTCCCTTCCCGGAGCACTCCCTGAAGGAAATTTTTAAACTGTAACAGAATCTTTTTCTAATACTCTACAGTGGTAGGGCCTGTTCTTAAGGGGCAAAAGGAGAGATCTTAATGCCAAACACTTGTCAACAAAAAGGATAGCCAGATGGTACAAAGGAAAAGTCAAACAGCAAGGCCTCTTGCTGCTCTTCGGCTGCATTCACAAAAGCCACTTTTATACATGGGGTCCAATAATGATAGGTTTCCAACTTTCTCTCTTTTTTTTTTTAACTTAGCTTCAAAGATTAAACGAAGTTGGTTGCTTCATAGGCTGGAACCAGAGATAAACATGCATTGCACACCCCTCATGCCAGCCGGCTTCTTTAGAAGATTCCAGAAAGAAAGGGGCTGGGGGAGGGGCCAAGATATCTGGGGATTTGTCTAGAGAGTTCACATTGCCTGGGGACTATTTAAGAGAGGGTAGCCTGTTTTGAATTCCAAAAATTAAGTCTACACAGAGGGGCTGGGGGCTTGTTAATCCAAACCAGTTTACAAATCTCGCCTTTGAACTTAAGGGGCCCAGGTTGGGAAGATTGGAGTCTCAGTCCGTCGGGCTCAACCAGCATCGCACTGGGCTTTATTGTTCAGGCTGGTCTTTGTCATAAGGTGCGGTCTGAAGTCCTCATTCTTAGCACCTGGTTTTGTCATAAATTCTCCTCTAGTTCCCTCTCTAGTTTAGATCCCAATCAGCCTGGCAAAGAGCTTGAATTCCGAGGACTTATAGGAACAAAAGCCAGTTTGGCTACAGAGAGAAGGAAGAACAAATGCACCAGGTCTGCAAAAGCCTTCAGAATTCAGGCAGAGGTCTCCGGGGCCCTGCAGGACAGCAAGGGATCAGTGCAGGGAGGAGGGTGGTGAAGAGCCAGCCTCCCCTCACCATCTCCACCAAGGGCCTCCCAAGCCCCCCAGGTCCCCTGCATGGTAACCAGCAGAGGTTTGATATGGATGTGACATTTTCTCACTCTGAGGTGAAGTGTGAGACTAAACACACCTTTAGAAAACTCTGTAGGTTACTGATCAATATGATTTGCAATCCAAGGGAAATCATGTGCTTTCTCAGCAAACCCAGCTTCCTGGCACGTTTCCTACATGCTGCCCCCTCCACCCTCACCCCCACCCCCAACCCCACTACCACCCCCAAGCGGCTCCTGGGGAGGAATTCCAGGACCACAACAGAATGGAAGGGCAGTTTATTCCTGTGCTGAGCAGAAATAGGTCAACCTTAGAAGCGTGGACAGAAGAGTCTTGCCAAACTGCAGTCCGGGTCTTCACCCAACTAATGTCCTCAAGTTTTAGGGACAGAGAGAGAAAGAAAACAAGGTCAGTGCGCCCTGTTAAAAAGCGACGCTGCCATCTAATCTGGAGTGATGTTCCCGAAAGCAGGGCCTGAGAAAGTCAGGACTGTCCCACAAACCCCAAAGCCGCCCGGCGATTAGGAGGCTCAGACAAGCCGGTCTTTGTCCTTTCAAGATGAAAGAAATGGGACTAAGGGGGTTGAAAGGTGTGTGTACAAGCAGAGGAGGAAAACCACCCAGGCCTGGCCTTCCCAAACAAGCTCCAGCACGCTCCCACCTTCAAGGGGAGCGAACAGCCCTGCCCCAAGATCCCCAGGGGCACCCAGTTGGCAACCTAGTCCTTCTCCAATGGAGGGGGTGGGGTGCCCAGGTCTGGCCCTGCTAACTGAGTTCTTTTTGCATGGCATTTGCAAAGCCAGGGCTTACAAATACCTTTTTAATGACCTTAGCCAGGCTCTGAAGGCAGCCACTGGGACCTGCTGTATTCACTGGGAGTCACGGGTACCCAACAGAACACAGAATGGGATGCCATAAATCCCAGCCAGAGCAAGGAGCCTGGTTAACCCCAACCTCAGAACAGCTACAGAGCTCTGCTTTCATTTACTTATTTACTTGTATTTGGAAATTCTTCTTTAGTTTCTGGTATAGGTCATAAATACACATTTTTTAAAAATCACACAGACACAAGTGCAGACAATGAAAGATCAAACCTCAGCCCATGCTCCCTAAGCCCCAGCCCCAGTCTTGCCCACCCCCCCAGTAAAATCCATTACTAGTTCCTGGCGTCTTCTTCCAGTGGGAAGGGATGATATACAAGCACATTATGTAACCCCACTGATCTGCACCTTGCTTTTTTCCACCTCATACATCTTGGAGGTTGTCTTAAATTAGGACATATGCAGCTGCCGCATTCTAACAGGATGCCTAATAGAATTTAAACTTTCTTGAAATTATTTTGGCATCCAAACCTCCCACCCCTTGCTGGCCGAGACTCGTTTCACTATTTGACTTTTGGCTGTTATTTAGGACAGACAATGGTATTCCGGGAACCCCGGGGACTTATCTAAAGGGGGAAGCATTAAGGTTGAACCGGGCTTTCCTGAGCCCTCCATCCACGCCCCCAGTGCCCGGCGGGGGGCTTGAGTATCATTATTTCCATGTTGACACAGCGCCCCTGGGCGTGAGTTTGCTGTCTTGACTCGGTTCGGATTTTCACAGCAAGTTACACGTGTAGAATGAAAGCGGCTCAGGAAACAGCGCTCTCGGGGCGTGTTATCTCGGAAACCAAATATTTGATCATCAGCCCTACAGAGCGCTGCCGGGGGTGAGTTTGAGCAAGTCTGGGGAGTGTGCGTGCACAGATGGAGGAGGCGGCGCCCCGCCGCAGCCTCAGCTCCAGCCTCGGGTCTCCCGGGCCCTAGGGCTCCAGTCCGGAGCCGGGTCCCCCAGCCGCCCCGGGCAGCGTCTGCTCGGAGATCCCGCGCCATCCAATCGCCAAAAGCCGTGGTTTGCACACCACATGTGATAAACGCTGAAAATGGATTCTGCCCGCCCGGGACCTATCATTAAATATTTAAAATAGAAAGCTCGCAATGGCAACGTTTCTTCCCCAGCTCCAGCCAGAACTGAAAGCGAGGGAGCGCCTGGCGGCGGGGAGAAGGGCCCCGAGGCGCTCAGGGCGCGCAGCGTGCTAGGGCGGGCGCACCGCGAGCGGACAGGTAGGGTAGGACTTGCCAAGGCGAGGAAGGGGGCGCGACGCCCGCGATGCCAGGGCCAGGCAGGGCTGAAAGGGGCCCAGAGAGGGCGGGAGGGCAGCTTCGCTGAGCAGGGCCCTTTAAATCCAGGTAGCGCGGGACGCGCCGGCCCGGCACAGCTCACATGACCGAGCCCCGCGCTTTGAACTGCGCCGCGGCCCGCCTGGCGCCTCCAGCCCCAGAGGTACGGCCGCCAACTTAACCCGGAGGGGCCTTCGGACCAGTGCGTCTCTCCCCCAAAACTCCCACAGGCCAAAAGAGCCTGGCTCGCCCCACCTGGCGCGCACAGCGTGGGGTCCACAAGGACGCTGGGGTAGGAGAACCTTGGCCAGGAACCTCGATTTGCAAAAGGCCAAGAGTGGAAAGATGGGTGGGGTGGATGTAAGAAGTGACCCCCTCTCCTCCCAGTCCCAAAACGCCTTCTGACCGTCCTGCTCTCACTCACCTAGGTTGACGAAGCTCATGACCATGTCGGCGTCGGTGAGGAAGTGGCTATCTTGCAGGCTGGCTAGAGGGGGGCCCTGTGTGCTGAAGACCGCCTTGTAGGGATAGGAGAAGCCCTGGCCGTCGGGCCCGCCGCCCTCCTCCACCGCCATGGCATTGTATAGGTCCAGCATGAACATGGGCGCCGAGTTGTGCTTGCCCTGAAGGTGGGGGCGCGGGCGATGGGGCAAGCCCAAGATGGAGAGGATCTCGCGCTGCATCTCCCGCCGCTCCTGGCTGCGGAGGCTCCGGTGGATGAAGCTGGAGTGCACCTCGTTGTCCAGGCTGAAGTCGGCCAGGGCGGAGCGCAGCAAGAACAGGGGCGCCCAGAGCGCCACGAAGCTGTGAGGCGCCGCGGCGCGCAGCGAGCGCACGTGCATCGCGCCGGCTCTACGCGCGACCGGGGCTCCGGGCACCCGGCACCGGGGCCCGCGCCGCCCCAGGTGGCGGAGGGGAGCAGGCGGCGGTCCACGCTGCTCGGTCACTTGCAGCAGACGGGTCCCGCGGCGCCCGCGCCGGACATGGCCCCTCCCTGCCCCCCTGTTCTCTGCCCGGATCCCCTCCCCCCGGCTCGGTGCTGGCCCTGGGGCCCCTCGCCCCGCACTCGCCCGGGCGCACCGAACGGCTTGGAAACCGGCTCGAGCGAGGAGCGAGCAAGGAGGCGGGCGCGGGTGGGAGGAGCAGCCAGCAACCCTAGGAGCCGGGTGAGTGAGCGCCGGGGAGGCGGCAGGCGAGCGCTCCTTTTCCCGCTCCTCTTGCGCTCTAGCCCTCGGGCGGTGGCGAACCACCCTCTTTCCAACTCCAGCGCCGAGAGCAGGGGCCCCAGGTCGCTCTCCAGGGCCTGCGTACCCTTGATCGCTCGAGAAGCCGCCTCGGGAGCCCCAGAGTGGTACGCGCTGGGGCCTGAGAGGAGGAGGAGGTGGAGGAGGACGGGCTTCCAGGGGCCCCTCCCGCGCCCGCGGCCTCCCACCTGCCCTCGGCCCCGCCCTCCCCCCCAGCTGCGCCCAATGGGTTCATTCATTCCTTCTGGAGCGCTCTACAAATATTTACTGAGTGCCCCCGGGGTGCCCGGCGCCACGGGGGTGCGGAGGAAAGAATCCAGGCTGGCCCTCCCCGCTCCGCACTGGCAGTCTGAGCGGGACCGTGGGATTCTGACCACGATGGAAGCAGCTAGGGGAGTGTGGATGGTGCGCTGGTCTGTGAAGGCTCCCCGGAGGGATCCGCCAGCCCTTAGATGCTCTGTCCCATGTACTCCACTCTGACCCCTCAGGTGTCTGTCTCTCCAACTGGTCACCTTTATCGTTGCTCTTGCCATTCCCTCTGCCTAGAATTCCCTCCTACCCTGATTCCTCCCCCACTACCTTCATCAGTACTTAGCTGGCCCTCCTCCAGGTGCCACTCAGGTGCCACTTCCTCCCAGAGACCAGCACAGATAGCTAAGGTCACTGCCCTGCTCATTCCCACACACTTGTTTTATTTTCTTTAACTCCTCCCACCATCTGGAATGACTGAGTTATTCATGCTTTCTTTATTGTCTTGCCTCCCCGACTGGAAATGAGTCACTCTGGGGGCCCAGGCGGGTGCTGTTCTTGGTGGCCATGCACCCACAGTACCTTGAACTTAGGGCCCGGCAGCCACTGTGGCTGCACATTCATTTGTTAAATGAATAAGTGAAATTGTGTGAGCTGGAGAATTCCTCCCCCTTTGGGCTCTGTTTGCTTCTAGCCCTACCTCAGCCTGAGACCCGGTACCCGGCCCACCACTGTCCAACCTTCCCCTCAGCCCCTGCCTGGTATCCAGTTTGCATCGAGTTCACCTCTGAGGGTCTGTGCCTGGATCTCACTGGTCTCCCTTCTTCCCTCCCCTCATTTGTTCATCCCACAAACACTACAGTGAGCCACCCACTGAGAGGCAGGTTCCCACGGGAACAGGCTCCCCAGACAACTCAGAACCTGCCATGGGACCTTAAGTGAATTGATGCTCTTCAGAGCCTTGGTTTCTTGATCAATAAATATGGGATCAAAATACAGACAGTCCTCCGGTTACGTCGGACTCAATGTATGGTTACGTTGCCATCTCCCATTTATTTATTTTTTAAAAAGAAGTTCTGTCATTTCGACGTATGTACATATGTGCTTTGTTTTTTATTATTTATTTACCACAAATAAAGGTCAGGAATTGTTATCTTCCTTTCAATATTTTTAATGTTTCACTTCATTACTGCTGTTCATGTACTCTATGTGAGTGACGTAGGTGCTTATGTAGGTGGGTTCCAACTTACGGTGAAAATCGTGTTAGGTTGCACCGTAGGAGCGTAGGAGCGGATCTCCGACGTAAGAGGGAGGACCTACTGTATGTAAGTCTTTGCCCAGAGTGGCAGTGAGAAATGTGGGGCAAAGCTCAGCTTGCCTCCTTCCCTCCTGGGGCTGCCCCAGAGGCAAACCTACAAACCAGTGGTGTCCATGTGAGGGACAGAATGTCAGCTCAGGGCATTTGGGATAAAGGGTGAAGGGCTGAATTTGGGGATGGGGTTTCCTTTGGGAGGGTGTCCGGCTAAGCCTCACCTTGGGCAGCAGAAAGCTCCATGACCTGGTACAAAGGAACCTGGTCTTGTCTCTTTTCTGGAGCAGAGGTGCTTCTTCCAGGAATCCCTTTGGGACTTTTGGAAAAGATGGCAGCCTGCCCGCCCACATGGGTGGACATAGGAGAGGCCAGAGCCAGGCAGAGAAGAGTAGGCAAGGCTGCAGGTCCTAGCCATTCATATCCCACAGGCAGGCCTGCTGCACAGGCCCACCCAGGCTGAGATAGAAGGAACCCTGAATCCAACGCCCAGGGCTGAGCTTCTGCCCACCTGTCAGTAAAAGCACCCTGAAAGGCACCCTCCACCTGCCCTTCATCCATCACTCTTTCCCTCAGCAGTTCGTTGAGCACTTCCTGGGTGTCAGGCAGGGTGGGCTTCATGAGTTTGCAACCCGTGTAGGTGCCCAGGCCCCCACAATCAGAAGGGCTCCACACTGGGCTTAATGCTCTGCTGTTGCCATGTTACAATTCTCTATAACCTATGAACAAAGCCCCCCCCCCCCCCCGGCCTTTTCATTTTGTACTGGACCCTGGAAGTCATGCGGACCGTCCCGGTGCCAGGCACAGTGCTGGGCTGGAGAGCGCAGCAGTGAGTCCACACAGTGGCCTCCGTCACGGAGCTGGCTTTCAGGCCAGGGGAGACAAAGCAAGAACCTAAGTACAGTTTGGGGTAGGGCAGGAGGCTGTGCTTGTCCGTGGATTCTCTCAGGGAAGGGGGCGGTGTGCTTAACTGCTGGAGCCCGGGGGAGTGGGGCACGCAGGAGGGTCAAGGGTAGGCAGTGTGGACGATGAGGCCTACTGAGGCAGGCGGAAGAGTGCCGGCTGCGTGCGGTGTTCATTGGAGAGTGTGCAACCCAGACCATTTCAGCCTGTGGTAAGTGACAGGATGAAATAAACAAGGTGACATGGTAGGAGGTGGGAACAGGACATCCTGGAAGAGTTGCCATTGACCCGAGTCCCAGGAAGATGAGAAAGAGGTTTCCCCGGGAAGGCATCCCAAGCAGCGTGACCAGCAGGTGCAGAGCCCTGCAGAGCAAGCAGCAGAAACCAGGCCACCGAGCTGCTGGTACCTCCCAGGGCTGGCCTTCCAGGGGCAAAGCTGACGCCACTGCCTGGCCACCTCCAATGCCAGCTGGGATGAAGGTGCTTGCTTCTTTCAAAGTCTAAAATGCTACGCTTCTGCAGCAGCCTTCTCTGCTTTTAATCCACTATCAAATCTTTTGGGGAGATTTTAACCAGCAATTGAGGCTGGGGTGAGGATGCCACGTAATGTTACTACCAATTTGCATATGACAGAGGATGGGTCAGCATCTGTCCTGACCCCCTTCAACCCTGTGAAGGCCCTGAAGGAAGGATTATAGTCTCCCCTCTGTGCATCTCACCTGAGCACACATGAGCCTGGAACACAGAAGTGCTCAATAAGTACCTGCTGAATGAATAGTAATAAGCACAGCCAATACCTAAGAGCATGCTGGACTGAGGGCTGACTGTGCAGGTGCCAGGCTAAGGCATCTCCCAGTCCCCTTGCCCCACCATCCTTCCTCTGAGAAGCCATCTTTTCTCACACAAGATGAAGAGACAACATGCTCTCCATACCTGAGTTAAGGTTTCCTCTGAACTCCCACAGCCCCCTATTTAGCCTTATCTTTCCTGTGACCCATGCTGGGGAAGGAGTGGGCTCTTTATTTTCCCTTCTTTCCCTCCCAAAGGAGTCCCCAAGAAATCACCAACCCCTCAGTGAATGCTTGCTGAATGAATGAATGCAAATATGCAGGTAGGAAATATCTGGCTGGGATTACATCAGATGCTGCTCTGAGAGCTGAGGCCACAGCAAAGGCTTCACAATGTTTAGAGAAAGTCTTGGGTGGGAGACAGCAGCCTTCCCACCTGTTTCACACTCCAGCCATGCCACTTGCAATTGCGGGCCTCAGTTCCATCTGTATAATTGGCGGGGGCGGGGGCAGGTAATACTGCCTGTCTCCTAGGATTGGCGTGAGGATTCAGAACTTAATTCAATACGCGTAAGGGACTTTATAAGGGCCTGGGGCACAGAGAAAGCACTTGATAAACGTTAGCCAGCATCAGTAAGAAAAGGAAAATATGTTCACAGGAAAGTCTCCTAAGGTTAAGAATAACAACAAATGTTTCATACGGTCTGCTTTTTGGCCAAGCAGAGAAAAGCACATTTATCCTGACTCTGGGAGATCCAGCTTGAGTGAGCGAGCAGGCAGAGCAGGCAAGTGGAATGAGAGGTGAAAGGAAAATCCTTACATTCCGTCCTCTCATTGTTCCCCAGCAGCTCCCACCACCCCCATGCCATCCAGGGCCCAGGAGCTCCCCGGGGCCTATCCCATTTCCCCCAGCAGCCAGTCTCCCACCCACCCACTCACCCCCAGTTGTGGTTCCCCAAGCACAGGCACCCAGCGCTGGACTCCTGGGCTGTAATCAGATCTGCCCCAGTCTGCTCCACACCTGGGGCCCGCTCCCCTGGATGAAAGATGGCCTGGAAATGTGAGGGGCGTTATTGTGTCTGGCCCGCCCCGGGCGAGTGTCCACACCCCTCTCTCGCTGGCCTCCCAGCACTGGGCAAGGAGTTTTCATTTCATACATCATCAGTCACATCTTGCCTAAGCGATTTTGACCAAGTCAGCATATGTCTCAAAGGCAATAAAAAGAAGAAAAGAATTCTGCTGACACACACATTCAGCAGGAGGCAGGGGCCTCATCTTCATCGGCAGAACTCTTATACCATCTGCCCGGAGGAAGCTCAGCTGGCCTGGGGCTCCCCACAGACACCCAGTGGGCTGCCCCTCTGTCCACCCCCCTGGCCAAGGCCTGCTGACCTGGGCCTCAAACCCCAGCAGGGAATAGGAAGCCAGCAGCCTCCTCACACACAGACTTTAAAACCCATGTCTGCAAAGAGATCCACCCTGGAGAGGAAATGGTTTTAGCACACCTGTAATGAAATGGTGCTCTCCAGGCAAATCTTTCACTGTACTGCAGATGCAGGCTGCTTGCTCGCTCACTCTGGGGCTTTCTTTGCACAATTTTTTAAACAGAGGAGTAGGATACTAAACAGCTTCAATCAGTCTCAAGTACACGTGGCAGTAGCCACAGTTCCAAAGGGAAAACACAGACACACACACACACACACACACACACACACTCCAGAGCAAGCTGATGGCCAAGGCGGGATTTGCATGGCCCAGGCTGGGGAGAAGCTGCGGTTTTGTTTACTACTGTTCTTTCTTCCTGACTGGAGGAAATCTGGTTTGATTTTGAGCATTATTACTCTTGGTTCAGCTTTGAAGGGAGCCCTTTCCTCCTTCCCAG